TATACAACTGGATCCGCAGCTACTGACGTTCTAAATGCATCCACAACAAATCTTTCATCTTCAACTAATGGTACATTTGTAAATGGTCAACAAGTTGATCCAAATGATTTACAAGGATTCGAATCATTCTATCATGGTCGATCATTAAATGATGATCAAGTCTTTTTAGTTATTTATCTTGTTGATACATTTCGTTATGAATTAATTCGATCAACAAATAATGACAACGAAAATCTTAATCTAAATGAAACTATTGATGTTTATATAAAAAAAGCAATGTTTCGTATTTATATGGATCTTGTCAAAGATTTACCAGAAAAAATATCCAGTCGAATTAATATTCAAGTAAGAAATACAAAACTTCTCAAAATAATATATTTATTTATTCTATTCTGTTAGATTATTCCATTTGAATCAATAATAAATCAACAAATTGAAGCTGATTCCGATCTTCGTATAACTCAATTCAAACGATTATCATTTCATATTTATGATCAATTACGACGTACAATTTCCTATACAACTCGAGCAAAATCTCTAACAGGTTTTGGACCAGCTGCGTCTGAAGAAAAAATGCCAGCTAAAATTGTATGAAACAATCTTTCATTATTCTATCAATGATATTCATTTCTTTTTAGGTTATGCAACTCTATACACCAGCATATATTCTTTCGCCTAAATCAGATTTTCGTTTTAAATCTTTTGCTGATATAACTGAACAAACAAATATAAATGGAAGTATTCTGTTTTGTTCATATTGTTTATCGGATGATCAACGATATTTATTAGCAACTTGTTCGGATGATCGAGGAGAATTATTAGAAACATGTTCAATTAATATCGAAGTTACTGATAGGTAAGAAATATATTTTGAAATAAGATAAAATGAAAAAAATTTTCTAGACATAGAAGGAAAGTTCAACATGCTAGACGAATTGGTTTACAAAAATTATGGGATTTTATTATGCGTATTATAACAAATACAACGATGCCATGGAGAATCGTAGTTGGAAAATTAGGAAGACTTGGTCATGGAGAATTAAAAAGTAAAAAAACTTTTATTCTGTTCTATTTTGATCGATTTCATTTAGACTGGGGAATAATTTTATCGAAGAAAAATCTTGTTCGTTGTGCAACATTAATACGTGATACGTGTCCGATGTGTCATATTCTACGTAGTCATGATCATCCTGTTATATTATCCGCTTGTTTAATATCTATGGAAACACATTCATTATTAGCTATTCTACCTGAATCATTTGAATTTGGAGAAATGCGTGGAACACAACCATCGAATAATAATGCAACAACAATGCAAAATAATGGGCAAACTTTGAATAATATTTCTGTTACACATATTCTTACATTACCAACATCAGCCATTGTACAGGTTAGATATAAAATATGATAAATTAAATGAATGTTTTTGTTTTTCTTTCTACTAGCATGTACAAAATATTCCTCGAGCAAATGATGCTCGTCAAACATCAGTTGAAGATGATGATATATTTGGCAGTTTCTCTTTATTTGAAGATGGAGGATATGACAATATGCAATCTCCACCACCTGATCTAGACTTGCCAGCTAATCTTGGTTTTGATATGAATCATAATGGAAATCCAAATGGTCAACTTAGTCGTTTGAATAGTTTATCTGTTTCACAAAATAATTATTATAACAATGATCAATATGGAAATTCTTTAAATAATTCTAATATAAAACCAAATTTATATCATTTAGATTCAGAAGTTGATATGAATGATATACCAACATTACATCAACAACCACTTGCACTTGGATTTTATGTTTCAACTATTGGTACATTAAATCCGTTACCAATATGGATGTTACAAGGAAAATCTAATCAACGTTTAAATAATTCATCAAGTGTATTTAAAGCTACATTACATATTAGTATACCGAATGCTCAACATTCCGATGATATTTTATTTAATCAAAGTCATGACCAAAAATCTACACATCCACTTGATTCAAATTATACATATGTTGTACTTAGGTAAATATATACCGAATGGGTCGAAATTTTTCCGGCAAAATGCTTGTTCATTTTTGGTCTGCTTGAAAGTAGTGACAAAATCTTGGAAAGGCCGAAAAAATTTTTGATACATTTTTGTGTTTTCACTATGGAGATCCGAGACTAAAAGTTCAAGCTTTTGTTAATATATTAATTTTTAGAGAAAAATCTACTGTACAAAACGTACTATTTGAGTTTTTTTCTTTCCTGGAATAAGGCGCCTAAATTTTCGTTTTTCTATCATCCTCATTTTTGAAAAATTGATTTTTTAACGAAACGGCGTTTTACATCATAGAAAGTAGCGCCTGAGAAAATGCTAATAGCTTCACTTGGGTAAAATCTACGGCTTGGTTCACTATCACATTTTGTAAAGATGTATCCGCTCTATGAAATTACCCACTTTGGCAACTATTAACGCCTTCGCAAAGAGACTTATGGGAGAGGTCAGACTCTTTTGATCCTCGCATTTTCGGACATCCGGTCGAACAACCGGATGTTCGAAATCGGAAATTGAACATAAAATCGTTTTACTGGTATCCGGGACGGAAAAATGCAGGATATCCGAAATACGAAATGTATTTTCTTACGAAAATCGACTATTTACTCTGACGTGTATCCGTCGTTTTAATCCCGAACATCCGGTCTTTTTCATTCCGATCTTCCGGACTTTTCATTCCAAATTTTCAAGGCACCTGGAGTTCGGAACGAATTTTTCAGTCCGATGTCTGAAAAAAAATAAGGACAAAAAGAGGTTAGCCCTATGGGAGTTAACAAAAACTTGTTTATTTGCCACCCAAATGAGTTTTTTAGGCCTTTCCAGTATTTTCCCACTATTCCCGAGCAAAAACAGATACAAAATTCTGGTCCTACTCCATACTTCTTGATTCATCTGAAATATTTTCAAGCAGGCCAAAAATGAACAAGTAGTTTGCTCGAAAACTTTCCACCCACCCCTTTTACATATTTTTTTTAAATATTTTCATTTATATTAGACATGTTCTTGAATCTTACAATCGTTTATCATGGTTATTGATCGATGCTAAAACTAATGAACGTGCTAGTTGTTTACCAATTCATATGGAAACATTATTAAGATTATACCATGCTTTCATGAAATTTGTATGATTGAAAATAAAATTCTATAAGCATATTGTTCATATGATTTTTGTTTTTATACTTTATATTGTTAAATAAACAATGAAGAAATATCTTCTGATTATTTCCTTCTTCTTCTTCTTCTTCTTCTTCTTCTTTTTTTATTATTTTTCTTGTTTTTTTGCAAACCATTCAAAAAAAAACACGAGTTGTGCATTGTTGTTTTGTCATTAATTGTGATCTGACATATTCGTGAAATATACAAAAAAGACAATTCGCATATATAAATATATATTTATTTTTTTGCTCTTTGTATATTTTGTATATTGATATTTTGTTTTTTTTTAGTGTGACTATTTCTACTTGCTCTTTCTCTATTTATTTAACTATTTTCTTTTCTTTTTTTGTCATTGAGCAATGTTCGTTTGTTATTCTCATAGTGAACATGCATAAGCAGTGATTATTTTCGATTTTCTTTTTTTTTTTAAACTATTATTATTATTAACCTTACTTCCACCTGTCCGCGTAGACTATGAGACAGTTGTTTTTCAGTTTTTTTTCTTGTTTAAACTTAAAAAACTTATTGTTTAAAAAGTCAACTTGAACTATTTATTTTATTTTTGTTTTTAATTTCAAACTACCATAACCGGATTAATAAGAAATATTTACTAGTTTTATATCAATTCTACAACCATAAATATAAATCGAAAGAAGACTATTGAAAAATTATTTCTCTGTTCTTGCTTCTCGACGTGGTTATCAAACAATTTTGATGATGATGATTTGTAGTTTATCAACTTGAACTTATCTTTTAATTCATACAATACTAAACGTTTTATTGTGATCTCGTTGATTCAATATTCGGGGTAGCACAGTTCCAAGTTCAGATGAACTAGTCAAAAGAACTGCCAATACAGTTCTTTTGAAAGGAACTGAACTGTCTTGG